ATGCTCATATCTAATACCTGGCATGATTGACTTGGTGTACAAATCAATCAGCCTGTAATGGCACATAGGAAAAGTCAGATGTGTTATTTCAGCTGATGAATTCTTTTCTGATAAGTGGTAGCTCTAATGAGATTAGATAAAGTGATGAGGTTAAAAGTCATCTGCTTTTCAGTTGTTGCTATGGAGCCCATAGTAATTGCTAGGTGAAGGTGACCGAGTTTGTGTTGTATTTCTGGTGTTGAGAAAATTATGATCTTATCTGTTTCCACAAACTGTCTTGGGTGGTCGTATTGAAGCTATCTTCTTTGGAGACTTAGACACTAAGCAAAAACCATAGGTGTACTTGAGATTATCACAGAGAGAAAAGAAAAATTAATTTCTTTTATTCTCTTCCTCTTCCTCCTCCTTCTTCTCTTCCACCTCTTCCCGCTCCTCCTTTTCCGCCTCTTCCTCCTTTTCCTCCTCTTCCCCCTCCTCCTCCTCCTCTTTTTCCTCTTCCTCCTTCTCTGTGACCTCCTCCCCCTCCTCTTCCTCCTTCCCCCACCCCCTCAGGGACTCATACGTGTGAAGTGAATGCTTATCCTGACAAATACATTTTTTGTTTAAATTTTGTTTCTAGGGAAAATTATAAAATAATTTTACCAATTTTTACCAATTAAGGTGGTAGAGACAGAAAACAAAGTAAGAGGATAAGGAAAGATCTTTTACCATTTCCTGGGCTCCAGTGTCCTGGGAAAGTGATTTAGGACATTTCATTCTTAAGACCAAAGCCTTGGACCACATGATATACAGAAAGAGTGTTAAAGAATGTCTTATCTCTAAATTGTGATATGGAATGGACTTTGCTAAGGAGACTGCCAACTTTGTGCAAACAGCTCTTTGGTAATTCTGGTTTCTTTATTGTCTTGACTATTTTTTCTTACTATATTGACAGAGTGATAGAGCTTACATTATCTTGTTCCTGTTTTATGGTCTGTGCATTCACAGTAGCTGCTGGGGACAGTCTAGGCTTTGGTAGAATACATAATGGGCTAAGAGGGGCCTGAACAAGAGGTGATGAAATGTGGAGGGAGTGTGCTGGACAAGAACATGGTGTATAGTGGGAGGATTAGTCAGATGATGACAATGACTTAGAGGAGAATTTCTGCTGCAGTGTAATGTATCATTCAATTCCTGACTGAGGCATTCAGAAGGAATTTTTGGCAAATCATTAAACTGCCTTGATGAGATTTTCAGAGATCCCTACCCAAATGTTAGCTGGTGTAGGAGACTGTTCAAATCCGCCTTTCCTGTGTTTATAGTTTTTTAATTTTATTAATTGCTTGGAAGTATGATATTGAAATATTTTTTGATCTGCAGTAAAGATCTAAAACATGATTGTTTTCATTTGTGTTGGTAAAAACCAGTTGTAATTTTTTTGGCAGGGCGGGGGGTGGGACGGGTATCTAGTGGTTCTCAGGACTACATTTAGTTTGATGCTCAGGGCTAATTCCTGGCTATGCTGGTAGCCATGCGGTGCCAGGGATCAAACCTAGGCCTCCTTCATATAAAACTTGCGCTCCCGTTGGTTATCTTTCCCACCCCAGGTACAGTTTTTTCTTAAGCACAAGTTTTGGTTATAGTTTATCTTATTTAGTGGTTTGGGTCACATCCACTGGTGCTCAGGGACTGCTCCTGATCGTGCTCAGGGGACGCTATGTGGTGCTGGGGATCAGCATTGTGCAGGGCAAGTGCCTTAACTCTACTATCTCTCCAGCTTCAAGGTAATAGTTTTCAGAGAGGTAAACATCTTTCCTACTCTGAGCTTCTCTCTCTCTCTCTCTCTCTCTCTCTCTCTCTCTCTCTCTCTCTCTCGTTGTCTCCATAACTGGGGGGGGGGGGTCATACGCACTTGACTGTGGTGCTTGCAGGGGCCATGCTCTTTAGTTGTGGTATTTGTGGTGCACATTTTAGTTGCAGAGCTCAGGCTCACACACTTGGCTGTGGTGTTCTCGCACTTGAGCGCCAGTGCTCACATGTACTTGTCTTTGGTCATAGAGGTCATACACATGGCTGTGCTGCTGGGGCTTCCACGGGGCAGTGCATTGGGATCACGTGCGGTGTCAGCGGGTGGGTGCTGGGATTCAAGTTCAGGCTCTCATGCTTGCAAGGCAGGTGGTTTTGTCAATGAGCTATCCCTGGGACCCTGTGTCTATTTCTTCACCAGAGCTTCAGAATTAATCTTTGATACAGGTTGTTGCAAAAAAATAATCAGACTTGAACTTTATAAGCTTGTCACCTTTGGACTTCTGCCCGCCATACATTTTATATGGAAGATAACACAGGACCCTGTATAATTTATTAATTAAAATAAAGTTTATGGGACTGGAGAGATAGCCCAAAGAACTGAAACTTCTGCTTTGCATGTAGGAGGCCCAGGATTCATGCACTACCTGGGCCCCTGAGCATTATTGGGAGTAACCCCTGATAGGAGCACAGAGCATGAGTAGCCCCACAACACCACTGAGTGTGGTCCAAAATCCGAAGAGAAAAAATTACAATAAAAATAAAGTTTACTGATTTTAAATGTACCTAATAATATAATAATAAATTATATATTATAAATTATTTGTTATTGAAACAAATATAACACATTTGGATTGAGTATCAGAGATGCTTGGTTGTATTGATCCATGTAATGATGGAGTGGTGCTTTTTAATTTTATTTTAATTACTGTGTACTGAGATCCCTGAAAGTTATAAATGCCACTGGGCTCTGACATGGCTTTCTCTGAAATTCTCACAGGATGTTTGATAACTGGCCCAAAACCTTACTAGTTGATATTATATTCACTCTGTGTGAAAATGTAAACTTTGTCACAAATTTGACCTCCCCTCCCTTCCCTTTCCCTCCTCTCCCCTCCTCAGAAAGAAATGGGGTGGGAGTGACAAAAAGAACTGCATTGTTGTCTGGGGTCTCTTGACTCTGTTTTTCTTCTTTCTTCTATTTATGTTGTTCTGTTCTTTGCTAAGCTTGGCAAGGTCCATCATAGAAAGAACCAGGATGGTATTTAAAGGTCGATTCGTCGATTGCCTCGAGCAGGCCCCAGTAACGTCTCCTTCATCCTAGCCCTGAGATTATATTCAAGGCTCTTTAGGAGAATGAGACCCATCACTGTTACTGGTATTTGGCATATTTGGTACGCCACGGGGAGTTTGCCAGACTCTGCCCTGTGGGCAGGCTATATTCGATAGCCTGCAAGTTTGTTCAAAGTAGGAATGAGATAATAAGATGTCATTAAAAAAAGATGTCCTGATAAGATGTCGCGCGGCCGCAAATGCAGCCGCGCGGTTCCGGGAGCTGGATTTTATAGTCTAATCCCATCAACGGCCAAGACTCAGAGACTATAAAATCCAGTATTTAAAGGTAGAGTTAGTAAAATTGACTATCATTGTTGGTCTGCATGTAATTGGATGGGATGAAGAAGACCAAGCAGGCTTGCAGATGATAAACAGCTATAATGTTGAGCATACAGAAATAATTTTGATGAACACTAACCTTAGTCGGTTTATGTCATCATCATAACCATGAATTGCATTTTATTTAGGACCTATAAGGTTCCAACCTAGTAGAGATTTTAAATATTATTGTGAGGGGTAAATGTGAAAGGGGTTAGAATTTCTCCCCCCACCCCCAGTTAAAATACTTAAACAATCACAACTAAGATACTGATTAGACTTAGATCTAACATGTTTGTTAAACCATAATCTTTGAGGATGTGTCTTTTGTCTACACAAATAAAACATGAAAAGCTGAAAGTGGAAAAATAACCTTGAAAACAAAAAAATCAAATGGAGGCCTGACTTTTAAAACTGCTTTGTGAATAATTGTTTAGTAAGGTTGATGGCTTGAAGGAAAAACTGCTTTTGCATTTGGGAATCAAAGGAATCATGATAGCTCTACTTTGCTTGGCTTGTTAGGTTTTTGTTCTTTTCCTTGAAGTGAAAATCTAGTAACTTAAATATTTTCTTGTTATTTTTATCTTATTTTCCCCTTCTTTTACCTTTATTGCTGCTGTTGTTTTGCAGTAACTAGGAATCACACTCCTGATTGTGGTGTTTGCACACTTGGTAGTGGTGCCGTAGTTGTAATACAACTACACAAGCCCACTGGACCCACTCAGTCACAGTGTTCACAGACATTCTCAGCACAGTGCTTGCATGTCGCTGTGGTGCTCACCAGAGCACCACAATCCTCAGGTCCCCCAATCCTCATTTGCAGTACTTGCTGGGAGGGTTCACACACTTGTGCGTGCACATGCCTGGCATACTCAGTGATTGCATGCTCAGTTGTGGCTTCAAACAGTAGAGCCACAGGGATTGCACTTGGCGCATCTGGGGAATACCAGAGATCAAACATGAGATCCTAGGCTTGTCTGATGGACTTTTATGCTAATGAGCCAGCCCTCTCAAGTGAACATATTTTGCCTTTTCTCTGGCTTTTGAGAAACTGTGTCAAGTTGAATATTCTGTATTTTTTGACAGAGTGATCATCTCCTTCTGCTAGAGGATTGTTCTAGAAATCAGGCAACAATTCTTTGTGGAGTCAGGGCATTGGAATTGATGAAACTACTTCATTTTTGCATATTTTAAAATCTGAGGTTTACATTTAATTGGAGGGTTTAGCTTGATCCTGAAGAATGTACTCTGTCCTCTTCAGGAAAATATTAGCTATATAAATTAAAAGGTTTATAAACATCAGGTAAGGTGTAATTTATGAAGGTTATGCATTACTGAAAGTTTCAATGGTTATTTGAGTTTTGAGCTTACATAAGATGAGGCGAAGGAGGGAAAAAGCTAAGTCTGGGTCGTTATGAAAAAGCTAAGTCTGGGTCCTTTGTTTTTGAAAGATAAACTGGAAGCAGTTTTCTGAATGGCCTTCCATAGGCAGTAGCCCTGAGAGACTCATGAAGGTTCCGTGCAGATGGACTATATGACTCTACTCTTTTTTTTTTTTCCAGCTTCTGCCCCTTGATGCAAAACAACAAGAGAAGGAAGTTAAGAAGCTATTCCTGTTATTTATCCGATAATTCCAGCTGGTTCATTAATGGACTAAGTTCCCTGGGGAGGGGGAAAACTGCTGGCATCTGAGGTTAAACACTTCCTACAGCTTTGACAGGAAGCTGACCTGGAAGACTTGGAGTCCCAGTTATGAGGTAAGTCAGGAGAGGGCGCACAGACCATGAGAAGCAGGGAGAGATGAGTGAGTCATTACCAAACTACAGGAAGATGTTTCTGTATATTTTACTTGGGAATGTCAGATATGAAAGTAATATGTGGCCATCTCACCATTAAAAAGTTACTTAGCTATCCAACCAAATAAGAAGTTCTGCTATAACTCTTTTAAGATTAGAAAGCAAAACAACAACAACAACAACAAACCCTATCAAAATAAAGATTCATGGCTCCAGTAACTCCAGTGACAAATTTTAGGATAGGTTTGCAGACTAACCCAAAAAGCCCAATTTTTGAAATTGTTATGCAGTTCTGGCGATTGAACCCAGGACTTCATACCTGTAAGTCAAACGCTGTACCTCTGAGCTATAACCCCTAGTCCTGGGCCATATATTTTTTTAAAACTTGTGAACTAAAAAATGTTGTTGTCGTTACACTAGAAATATTAAAAAAATAGCAGTCTTCTCTTTGATAGTTTGGAATCTGATTTCATTATTCTGAGAACTGAAGTTGGATAGTCTTGACCGTTCTCTTAACCAGCCAGCCATAGCGATTTCTCACCTTGCTTTTGCAGCGCATAGTCATGATGTTATTCCAGGGACTGTGAACAGAGCACTCTGTTAGACTTTATTTTCTTTCAGCATTTTTTTCTTTATTTTTTTAGGTTTTTTATTTATTTATTTATTTATTTATTTATTTATTTATTTTTTGCCATTCCTGGAGATACTCAGGAATTACTCCTGGCTCTGCACTTAGAAGTTACTGTTGGTGGCGCTCCAGTGACTATATGGGATGTTGGGGATCAAACCCTGGATAGCCGCGTGCAGGGTGGATGCTCTGCCTGCTATACCAATGCTTTGGCCTCCCAGAATTTTGTTGTTCTATGTAAAAAGTGTGTGCCTGACAAAGGGCAGATTTCTGAGAGAAAGCTGATACTGGCAATCTCACTCATGAGGAAGGAAACTGTGACTGAACTCATCAATTCGTCCTCATAGTTGGGAAATCTGATTTGTGTAGAAATAAGATCTGATTCCTTCTTTCCTGCCCTTGAGGTGATTGTCTCAGAGGGGGATTATTTTGAGAGTTGCTGGGTCGGATCTGGTCATTTTTCTTACTGGGGAGGAAATGCTCGTTCATGAGTTGATGTCCATTTGGTTGACACTTACAGAAATTTGTTTGATGTTTGTTTGATGGCCTCTTATTTGCACTGGACATATAGTGATATATGAGTAACAAGCAGTGCCATCTCCTGGTGCAGCAGTTCAGGCTGAGAAATCTCACCACCAGAGTCAGAAGCACCTTCAGACATGACGGACTGTACTGAATCAGAAGAAAATCTTTCTCCCTGTCTCTGACCATCGTGCATTGCAGGCAGCTGAACCACTCTTAGAAATCACTTAATCACTTAATCACTTAACTTCCCGTTAGTCGTCGATTTGCTCGAGCGGGCGCCAGTAACGTCTCCATTTGTCCCTGTCGCGTGCTAGTGTAGCCCAATGGCATCTCTTCGCTCCGGGAACATGGAGGGCCTCAAACCGATCGTTCATGATCTTGACAAAGAAGTCTGACCATCTGGTAGGTGGGCGGCCACGCGGTCTCTTGACATCCCGTGGAATCCAATCAGTAACAGCTCTAGTCCAACGGTCGTCTTTAAATCTCATTACGTGACCAGCCCATCTGATTTTCAACACCTTGGCAAATGAGACAGCGTCCCTGATCCTTGATCGTCGACGGATGTCAGAACTCCGGATTCGTTCTCTCATTTGAGTGAAACGTGATATTCCAAGCATAGCTCTTTCTATTCTTCTTTGGGAGACCTGAATGGCGTTCTCATCTTGTTTGCGTAGGGCCCAGGTCTCTGAGGCATATGTTAATGCAGGAAGAACAGTGGAATCAAAGAGATGTGCCCGGAGCCGGAGGTTCTTCGTCCTCTTAGCTATTTCTTCGACGTTCTTGAAAGCGTTCCAAGCCGCTCTCTTCCTCCTGCGCAGCTCGGGTGCCAGGTCATTTGTCATGTTGACCTCTCGACCTAGGTACACATAGCTGTTGCATTCGGAGATGGTCGTTCCATTGAGAGCGAATGGGGCGTCAGGAACAAGGCTGTTTCTCATAAACATTGTCTTCGTAAGATTCAGCTGTAGTCCTACCTTTCCACACTCACAGTCAAAGTCGGCCAGCATTTGTGCTGCTTGGCTGATGTTTGGTGTTATTAAAACAATGTCATCAGCAAAGCGGAGGTGGTGTAGTTGCCGACCATCTATCTTCACTCCCATTCCTTCCCATTCCAGTCGTCGCATGATGTTCTCGAGGGTGGCACTGAAGAGTTTCGGTGAAATGGTATCACCCTGCTGCACCCCTCGCTTGACATCAACGATCACTTCTTTGTAGAATGGTGAGATCCTGGTAGTGAATCCGCAATACAGCTCACGGAGGATCCTGATGTATTGGGCTTGAATGCCCTGATTGGCTAGGGCTTCAATGACCGCTTCCGTCTCAACAGAATCAAAGGCCTTCTTTAAATCAATGAACGTTAAGCAGAGCGGCATCTTGAACTCCCGAGAAACCTCAATGAGCTTGGTTACCGTGTGGATATGGTCGATGGTGCTGAATCCTTTGCGGAACCCTGCTTGCTCGCATGGTTGTCCTTCATCTAGTGTTCTGCCAATCCTATTCAGGATGACTCGAGTGAACAGCTTGTAGATGACAGACAATAGGCAGATCGGGCGATAGTTGCCAATGTCATGGATGTCTCCCTTCTTGAACAGTAGTACGGTCCTGCTGGTTTTCCATTGGGACGGAACCTTGCATTCAGACAGGTAGCGAGTGAAGAGCCGAGCCAGTGTATTGATGAGTACTGACGGCAGGTTCTTCAGGTGTTCAGGTCTGACCTTGTCTGGGCCGGGTGCTGTTTGTTTCTTTACCAACGAAATGGCGTGTCGGATTTCGGAAGGGAGAACGTTAGGAACGACACACCCATCCTGTGGAATTTGGTATGTCGGCAAGTGGACATGGCTATCGAAGAGATTTGAGTAGAAGTCATGGATAATCTTCTCCATTGCCGTTCTGGAGGATGTGATGGATCCATCAGGACGTCGGAGGGCAGTCATCTTGGTCTTATAGTTAGCGAAGGACAGGCAGGCGTTACGAATACTTTTCCCGGCTTCTGCCGCATCTACCAGTACTTCTGCTCTTCTCTCTTTGAGGTCTTCCTTGATCGCATCTCTGCACTGCTTTGCAAGCTCGGACGTTAGTTTGCGGTTGCCTGAGGCATGCGCCAAACCACGCTGGCGAATTAGCTCAAGAGTTTTCGAAGATAGGCGACTTTTTGTGGCTATCTCTCTCTTGGCGTTCCTCGCACATTCATGGAGGTGCTGAGCCAGTCGATCGTATTCCTCGTCAATGTTGTCAACAATGGCATCTTCCCATGTTGCTGCAATAGTACCAAAGAGTTCCCAGTTGGTGGTCATTCTGGGAGTTCTCTTTTTGAACTTTGCAGCCCTTTCTCCCCTCTCTGTGAAGTAGAATTTTGCACGAAGGAGACGGTGGTCCGTTCCCGTTCGAAATTTTGGGACAACAGCGACATCAGTCAGGCAAAACCGTCGATTGAATATGATGTGGTCTATTTCGTTGTGGAATCGTCCACCGGGAGACTCCCATGTCCATCGTTTAGATTCTGCCTTCTGGAACTGTGAGTTACCATGAATGGTCTTGGTCGACATGATGAACTCAGACTGCAGTTTCTATCTTCGTTGTCTACGCACCAACATCTCATTATGATGAAAGAGAAATCGAGAAGTTCTACATGGAGCTAGAGAAGTTCTATAAAGAAGACCACACCTTCTACAAGATCATTGTGGGTGATTTTAATGCCAAGATAGGACCGAGAAGATCAGCTGAAGAACTTCACATCAGGACCCATGGCCTAGAATGGAACGAACAGGGTGAGAGACTGTCTGAGTTCACTCTTAGAAATACTTCTGGTAATTCAACATCAAACCAGACTTTTATATGGTGATAAAGGGCTTTGACCATGGAAGCATTTCAAATCCTAGGATTCTTTTCTCTCTGCATTAAACACAAACATTACTTCCTTGATCATAGTTTACTGATGGGGTCAACTATCTGTGTCCCCAGACAGTGGTGGGTTTTCTTTTTCATATAAATGTTTGTGTGTATGTAATTTCGTATGTATTTTGTTTACGGTGTTTCTGAAGATTAGAAACAGCAGGGCTGCAGACTCAACCAGCAGAGTTGCCAGGATTGTGCTTGGTGTATATGGGACACTGGGGATTTGAACTCAATGCACTTTGCAAGCTTGCAAGGCAGGTGTTCTAAGTCCCTACACCGCCAGTGCTTTTTATCTCAACAAGCCATTTGACTTAAAAAGGGTAGTACATACTATTTAGGAAGATTTCAAGTTACTCATTTTTAACGTTGAAACAAAAAATAAAGAAGGTTGGCTAGATTTGATGCTTACTTTTGTGTTTTCTGGTTTCCTACCCATATTACTTTATCTCTCCTGAGTGTCTTAGGTCAGTTTTGCCTGGCCTCTCTTGCTCCTTTGACTGTGCACAAAGGTGAAATGTCCGTGGATCCCTCCAACTGTCAGACATAAGTTCATGTAACTAAAGTAACTGGAAATCGATATTTACACATTTATTGAGTTGTAACATGACTATAGGAGAGATTCAAACTCTTCAAGCAGAAAATACAGGTGAACAGCATCTTATTTTTGTACGTTTTATTTCATCATTTATTTATTATTCTTTTTATTATTGTAGTTTATTGTTATTTTGCCATAGCAATTGCTCTGTGTGTGTGTGTGTGTGTATGTGTGCGTGCATATACTCTAAAATGTTCCCAGAGATGAGGAAATAGCTCCAGGATTCAAGTGTGAATCCTGGCATCTTATGTCCCCACCCACACCCCGAGAAGCTGGATGTGGCCATGGAGGTTCCCAGCACCTACAAATATGACCCTA